CTTCACCTTCGGACCAGTATCGCTACAGACCTTGCCAGGCTTGTCCGAGTGTGAGTGTCAAAGAACCCTAAACCCTAAACCCTAAACCCTAAACCCTAAACTCTAAACTCTAAACTCTAAACTCTAAACTCTAAACTCTAAACTCTAAACTCTAAACTCGAAGCCCTAAACCGGCATAGCAGCCCCTAAGGGCATCCCCCAACCTGGAAGTGGGTAGCCCTCTAGTCTCATCAGGGTCCAATTTAAGGGGTCCCGTACTATTTCGTGAGCTAAACCAGGGCCCTAATTTCGAGAGCTACCCCAAGTTCAGGCCCCAGATTGCTGAGCGCTGCTTCGCCCTGCGATGCTCCAGGACTTGGGCCGGAGCAGTTCCAAGGGTTTCGGTTTCAGGATTTGGGGGTGTTGAGAGCAGTGGGATGGCCTACGGTTTCAGGCATTTTTCACGGTTTCGGGAGCTGCAACCTGCACAGAAGAGGGTATGTCCAAGGTTCTCGGATGGACGCGAGCATCCGTCCGAATTTGGCCTAAGCCGGCTGCACTGCAACAGGACCGTGTGCCCTCCACAACGCAAATACCGAAGCTGTGGGGTTAAGGTTGTGGGGTCATGCAAACCCTAAGCCCCAAACCCTGCGAGAGGGATAACAAAAACCCTAAAAGCGGTGCCTTGCCGAGCAAGCAGGACGGTGGTTAGGTCTTTGGGCTGGAACGCCAGAGCCCGCAGAATCGAAGACTGCCCCCAAGTCGGACGGACAACACGGAAACACCCGCAGCAGCCCAGTAGTCGTGCCTTGATTGTATCACACCGTCAGCCCAAAACCCCAAACCCGAGAGTACTATGCACCGGATACCTCATGGGAAGCTTGGATGACTGGGCATATGAAGCTTTGAACCGCGAAGGCCGACGGACGGCAAAAAGGAAGCGCTCCCTTGAGGAGGCGGCTGGGCTTGCGGAACTTCGGGCCCTTGACCGTAGGTTAGGGATTGTTGCATCGATTCGGAAACATCGCAGGCTTGAGTTGCACAGCCGTGGGATGGATGCAGCGAATCTAAGCTAGATCGTGTGCCAAGCTTTGGATGGAGGGTTTCGACCATCTACTGCAACCTGAGCACCACGGTTCTGAACATTCGATGATTTCTGGCCCTGTCACAGGCGTTGGGGTAGAGCTTTCCTTCCAGAAGTGATGTCTTCTTCCCGTTTCTCGGTGATGAGATGTTCTTTCGGGCCCGATGCAGGCTAATCTGCAGATGTTCCCGCTGATCTCTGCCTTCTGCTTTACCCAGCAATCTCTGCCTTCTGCTTTAGCCCAGCAAGAGTTTAAGAGATGTAAGTTTGTGTATTCTGAGCTAAGGGGGAATCTGAAAACAAGGCCTCTCCGGCTCGGCAGACGACGCTGAGCAGATACTTCTGTTGGAAGCCGTAGATGTCCTCGTACCTGCCGGGGTACGAGAAGGAGTGAAGTGTTCGGGCCTGGTGTCTCAAACCAAATGGGGGTTTCCGAAAATAGGGGAGCCTAATATAGTACCCTAATTACTAGGATCCCTATTATAAGGACCCAAAATAAGGTACCCTAATTTTCGGAAACCCCCAAATATCAGAAGCCAGATGCCCACGAACACTATCTTGCAGCTTGGCAGTTCAGACACGGTTTCTTGTGTCTCTTTAGAGTGAGGGGTCGCCGGCTTTTGAACAGGGTAGAGTATGTCGATACTCACTCGGACGGGTGGAAGCTTCTTTATTTGAAAAGATGTTTAGTTCCTTCCCTCCATCATTCCTGCATTCATTCGTTCATTGTTCTTTCATTCGTTCACTCACTCCTTCGTTCGTTTTTTCATTCACTCATTTACCATTCCACATTCACTCATTCACTCATTCACTCATCCCTCATTCGCTCATTCTTTTGTTCGTTCATTCATTCGTTCATCAATTCATTCGTTTCTTCATTGATTCGTTTATTCATAATTTAATTCATCGATTCTTTCATCCATTTGTTCATGTATGTACGCATGTATTCATGTGTATCTATGTGTATATAAATAAATAAATAAATATATATATATATATACACATACATATATATATAAATAAATAAATAAATATATATATATATATTTACACACACACACACACACACATATATATATATATATATACATATATGCTACCCCCCCTCAAGGATCTACCGTTT